AAATGAGCAAAGCATTTTGCATTATTTCTATGGAGGTATGTAACAGAGTAAGTAAACTACTCTCGAAATAGACCACTTTTCCTTTTGGAAGTGATTTAGACATCATCAGAGAAGAATTTAATTCATTCATTGATCAATATTTGTTGAATGTTTATTGTCTACTAGAGGCCTGATGCACGAAATTCATGCAGGAGTAGGCCCTCCTTCCCCTGGTTGCCAGCACTGGCTTCCCTCTGGCACCTGGGACCCAGGCTTCCCTAGCAACCCTGACCTCGTCTGGAAGGACGTCTGGGCTAATTAGCATATTACACTTTTATTATTATAGATAAGGTATTATGCTTAGTATATTTGAAATATAAGATATATATATATCTTTATGTATCTTTTACAGATATATAATTATATATAAAGTTGTTTATGTTCTCACAGAGTTTACACTCTAATGGGAAGGTGTAAAGACACCCACATAATGGAAAAATAGGTCAGCCTGTTACGTCACAGAAGGAGTACTTGTGCCACGGTGCTTGGCAGTTTGAGAAACTTAGCTCACCTCTTATATGAGAGATACTTGCTTCCATAATGAAGTCAAGCTGCTATCCATAACTCCATGTTACTTTTCCAAACACATGGATTCTTATGAGTGCTATTTTAGAGAACAATGCTGTGTAACAAAAGCATCCAGATGCCATCCTCCTGATCACCTATAGACCATCTATCTAGGGAAGTGATTCTGAACTTGTGAAGCAGGGCTCATTAAAACATATTCTGGGCCCCATTCCCAGAAGTTCTGATGCAGATCTGGGTTGGACTGGAGAACTTGCATGCAGCTGGCATGGGCTCACACTTCCAGAACCAAAGTTATCCTTGAATTTTCCCTGTTGCTTGCCTTCCAATCCACACTGATACCTCCATGTCCCCAGTCTTTCCCTCTCATCCCCATTCCTCTGATTTTTGTTTTTTCTCTTGGGAAGAAGCATAGAGGAGTCCTGCTTTGTGCCACGGGAGGATGTTTTGTGTTATCTTTGTTTTTTTCTCTGATTACCCTAACTCTTGGTGTCCTTCCTCACACATTTTACAAAGATGCCTTAAAGTGAACTGAGAAACTCCTAGAAGAGATGAAGTCCTACTATAGTTTGTTTGGCAGAAGAAAGAGCAATTAGGTGAGAGATTTTCTTTTATTCTTAAAATTATCCTTAAGAAATCAGAGAAAAAAATGTTCATTTTATGAAGGCAGTTCAAGGGAAACCTAAGTAGTATCACATTGCCTCAATATTTGAATTCCATGGAGGAAGGAAACACGTTGAGTGCTTATTATTCAGAGGTTGGATACAGTCAAAGAAACTTAAGGTCTCCTGGGAGAAGGGGATAAAGTAGTAATGATGATAATCTTTTTTAACATTAAGTAGTACTTTACCTTTCATGAAAAGCTCTCCCATGCATCATACCTTTACAGTTACTCAAATGGCAGGCAAATTATTATTTCCATTTTAAACTCAAAGAAACTGAGGGTTCTGAAATCAAGTGGCTTGTGTAAGGCCACAATTAGAGGAACCAAACTCAACCCAAATAATCTAATTCCAGTACAATCATCTTTCATTTATGTCCTCACTCTATGTTTTAGTATTATAATCATTTTGGAATATGCTTTATAACCAGGACTTCCTTGGTTCTCTAAGGTAGAGCTTTACTCCAAAGTAAATACCATAGACTACTTATTTGTCTCAAACACTTCCTTTCAATGAATATGTGGATGATTAACATACAGCTACACAGAATTTTACTTGGAATCCAATTTCAAAATTGATTTTCTGCAGTTGTTGAAAGCAAGTATCATTTACACTAAATCTTGGAGCTACTGAAATGCAAAGCCAGTTACCATGCATAGCAGTTGTGATGCCAAGGACCCACATTTCTTTTCGTTGAGCTCTGTTAATACTCTTTATTGGCAGGATTCTTTTCATTAGACTACAGGTAAGAACACAAAATCCATTCCTACTCTTCCAGGTATCCCCAGTACTTCCTAGAGTCTTTCTAGACCAACATTTGGGCTTTTTGCTCTAAATTTTTATCATTTCTACTGGGCTTCTGTGAAGTTGAGAGGCCCCATTTTTGTGATGTTTTCCCAAGAAATTTAAGAGAACTTTGTTTTAAAATGTGGGCCACAGGGAATCCAGGTCCTGCATTACTTCCATAGACCAGGCTGTTTTGCCTTTTGAAAATCTCGACCACTTATTCTCAAACTTTGTTAGTTAGGTTATGGTCTCTTCAGTGAGACAAAGTCTGGATAGATAGATGGTCCTTCCGAACTGACATGCCAAATAATTCTGGGATGAAAGAGAAGAGTGTTGTTTCTTTTAAATGAGGTGTTAGAGTGATATATGAACATTATTAATTGTTCTCAGATGTCGCCAAGCTATAGACACCAATACAAACACCTTCATAATTTACTGAGGACTCTCATAGTTTACTACATATCCAAAGGCTACACTTTAAGCATTACTTAGATTTATAAAATGCTTTTACTTATAGCTTTTGAACCTATGATGCATAAATGTGCAAACCCATTGCTGGTTTTCTTATGGGCACATCTAATTATTTGGGTTAACCACGGAATTCTCTGGTGAATCCATTGGATAAATGTTTATGCACCAAAAAGACAATTTCTGGTAGTACACTGAAAATTTTATGTTGAAAATTTAAAGCCTTATCTCAATATCTTATCTACTAGAATGTGTGAATTTCATCTCTGCTAGTTCTACTGGAAGAGATGCACAGGAGAATAGAAATGTTTTTTCAAGATGAGCAAAGTCATGTTTGGCTAAGAAGAAACTTCCACAAATGGTTTCTTTTTGCCCTTAATCCTTAGTTTTATGGTTTATAAGACAGCTATTTAGAGAAGGAAAGAACATAAACTATGTGAGAGTACTCTGTAAACCATAAATTGCCACATAAATAAAATATTACTATTTGGTTAATTTACCAAATAATGATGATACCCATACCACATGAAAAATTTCCTTGGTTGATCTCAGGTTATTAGCGCATTCACATTTACCCCAAGTAAACATCATGACTCACCGCTACCTGATTTTCTTCCTAAATTCAGCAGTGCATCAGTATGTTCTTTAAGAGGTGTGAAAACTGTCACCTTTAGAAACAACTCATTTGCATAAAGGTACATACATGACGTCCTGACTTAAGTTGAACTGCAAAGAAGGAAAAGTTCACCTTAATGTTCTAGTGTAGCTGCTCCCTTCCTTGTTGTGTACCTTGTCTCAGAGTCTGTTGCTCTGGCTATTCTTGCTAGTTGATCTGAGAAACAAGGTTGCTTTGAGGAGCTAATTTGATTTCATGTATTGTATGTAATTCAACGTGTAACTTTCCCCTGGCAACATATTTGTCATTTAATAGGGATATTCTGGAAACAGAGGTTTACCAGAAGAGTGACTCTCATAATCAGAATTTCAAAAATAGTGATCATTGTTGGAAAAGGTATTTTTTAGGGATAAGAGACTCTATGAGAAATCTCATCGCATATGTGGTCCCTAATATGAAAGATATTCGTGGTTCTTGTTTCTATGTCTGTCCCATTATGGAGCTAGGAAAGAGCGCTAGCTGGGAGGCCATATCTTAGCTCTAGAACATTGGTTCTGAACCTTCCTAATGCCACGACCCTTTAATACAGTTCCTCATGTTGTGGTGACCCCCAACCATAAAATTATTTTTGTTGCTCCGACCCCCAAAGGGGTCACGACCCACAGTTGAGAACCGCTGCTCTAGAATCAGAATCCAGGGAATAAATACCATCTTGTCCAACTACTCATCTGATGATTGAATCGCTTCTACAACATCCTTAGAAAATGATGATCCATTCTCTCCTTGAACACCTCTAATTATAGGAACTCACTCCCTCTGGAGGCTGTCTATCCCATCTTAGAGCAGCTCTGACTGTCAACAGTCATTTTATTTTGTGGAAAGAATCTCCTTATTGTTTCCAGTCATTGGTCCAGTTCTATCTTTGGCCCCAAACAAAACAAGCTTACTCTTTCTTCCCTCCCATACATAAACTTAATAGTGCTAACAACAGCTATCACAGAGTGCTTATGTGTTAGGAATTATTTTTAATAACTTCATTACAGATTAATTCATTTAACCCTAAAAACAGCACTCAAGTAAAGATCTATCACTACTGTTGCCATTATATTGACAAGAACACTGGAGTATAGAAAGGTTAAGTAATTTTCCCAGGGTGACAAAGTTCAGTAGACAGTAAATCTAAATTCAAACCGAAGCGATCTGGCTCCAGAGCTCTAGCTTAACTACTACATTATGCTGTCCCTGAAGCTGGACTGAGGATGGCTTATATGATGCTCCATGTCTTCTTTTCTGCAGTCTGAGCATCCCAGGCCCTTCAACTGTGATTCATATGCTAAGGCTTTGCGTCCCTAGCCACACTCCTCTGAATTAGTCTATTGTCCTTTTAAAAGGTAGATCCCAGAACAGACTGTGGTCTCTAGATGTTGAAATGGAGAATAAGGAATAGGAAATAGAGTGAGTCTATCACTCCTCTTCATTTCAGGGACCACAAATGCACCCTGCTGTGGCCTCTTCGAGCTAATGGTTCATATAGAACCTAATGACTTTTGTCTGTAAAATGAGGTTATTGCAGTATAGGATCTCCAAGGACCTTTCCAGTTATAAGCATCTTGAGTCAAAGTTCAATGTATTTAAAGGATGTTGTGCCTGTAAATTCTTTATCAGGCTTTTCCCCATTTGGCCTCTCTCCGAAAGGGTATCTGTGAGTTTGTCTTTTGGTGGCAGGATGCTTTGTTTCTATGATGGGGGCACAGTTGGGACTTCTAAAGGATGGCTTATAGTGGCGTCTCCTTAAAAATCTGAAATGTGACTTCAAACCTTCCCTTCTACCTGCTGTCCTGACCCTCCCTCCCACTGTCCCCTCACACCCACCCACTGCCAGATTTCTGGGGGCCTGCACTCACCTGTGTGGACAAACATGTGCTTGACGTAGTTCTGTTTGGCGGTGAAAGTCTTGTTGCAGAGAGTGCACTCGTAAGGCTTTTTTTCGCCCTGCCCACTGGCTGTGCTGTGGCCTGCAGATGGGGCCAGGGGCTGTGGCGCTGGCAGCTGTGCAGTAAAGGTGGACAGGCCGGGCTGGGACACTGTCACAAACTGGGTCTGCTGACCTGTCAAGGGTTGTGGCAGGCTGAAGAGGAAAGGCTTGGGGCCGCTGCCTGCGGGCTGGGTAGTGAAGAGGGCCGGCAGGTAGGTGTTGCCGGCTGTGCCAATGACCTGTGTGTTGCTGGTCAAGGTCAGAGGCATCCTCAAGTTGCTGGTGAGGGTTTCTGTCTGGCGTAAGTAGAGCTGGGTACCTGGCAATGGCTGCCCGATGGACGTGTTGACCGAAGGCTGCTGCAGGACGCTCTTGTCGGAGCTGTTGCTGACAGTGATGACCGTGTTGTCCATCTCCGCCTCATTGCTTCTTTCTGGAGAGGAGGCGCCTGTTTCTAGCTGGTGTGGCTGCGCACTGCCCTCTGCAGCGGCTTCCGAAGCCTGCTCCGGTTGGGCGGGCTCAGCCTGGCCATCCCGCGCCACCCCAGGCCCGAACTGCTGCTCCACGGAGTCGGGCTCGGTGCCTATGGAGGAGCTGACGCCCGAGTCGAAGCTTTCACCCTTGGGCTCACTCTCGGTGCCCTCGGCCTGGTCGGTGTCTTCCGTGCACTCCTCGGACTCATTGCGCTCCAGGATCTGCACCCTTTGCTGCCCATAGTAGTCGTAATCGTCCTCCATCTCCTGCTTGATGTGGATATTGCCGACCAGGGTCTGGATGCGCACGGGCCGGGGCTGCTTGCGGCAGTGCGTGGTCTCGGGAGTGGTGGACAGGTAGCGCTCCATCTGCTGCGAGCGCTCATGGATGCGCGTGATCCAGCTGGGGTCTTCCATGTGGTGGTCGCGGGGCAGGCCGAGCGCGGTCTCGTGGTGGCTGACCACCGCGCCGCTGTAGAAGGAGCGCTCGCCGCTGCCGTTCTGCATGGAGCACGCGTAGAGCGCCGAGTAGATCCTGTCCACGCTGTGCTGGGAATGGCTCTGCAGGTAGCCGGACTCCGTGTCGCTGCTCTGACCCGATGTGCCTGACTCAGGCGTGCCCCGCGGGGTGTCCTGGCCTGAGTCCTGGATCCCCGGAAACACATCGCCCACATTCTGGGACACGATGCGCGTGCACTCATCGATGACTGTTTTGATCTGCAGGATGCTGGCGGCCGTGAGGATCTGCAGGGCTTCTGACTGCGAGACGCGCAGCACACCGCTGTACATGAAGTCAATGAGCTTTTGCACCGACTGCACCGACACCACGGACGGGATCTCGATGTCGCTGTAGCCCAGCAGCAGCTTGTCCTGGAAGAAGGGGCTGCCGGCGGCCAGCACGCAGCGGTGTGCGCGCAGCATGCTCCCGTGGATGCGCACCGTCACGTCACAGAAGTGGCCACGGTTGCGCTGCTCGTTGAGGGTCTCGAGCACGGAATTGCTGAAGTTGTGAAGGTTGATGCTGTGAATGCGCTCGGTCATCCCCTTGCAACTGATGTCACCTGCGCGGCAAGACAGACACAAAACAGAGCGTGGGTCAGAGAGCTAGCTGCTCAGGTGGGAAATGCTCCTGGCTCCTAGAAGCACCCCCTTGGCAGACACAAAAGGGCTCTGTGGGAGATGGACGGGATTTGCACAGAGGTCACGCTTCAGGTATGATGTCCTATGGGAAGAAGTCCTTGAATTGTGCCCCCACAGTGTCCCAGCTATTTTGGGGTATTGAATCAAACTAAGAACTGGAAGACTTATTCTCAAGGAACAGTACTACCTTGGACAGGCCTAAGTCCATGTCCTTTGGGAAAGCTTCTATTTTCCCCAACTTATCAAAGTTCCCTATTTTATTCATAAACTACAATAATATTCATAGTAAAAAATAAATGTCCTTGTTGTTAATTTATGTGGCATATCCCCCAAACCCACTCCACGTATACAACGATTCTTGGGAAAGCCAATCCAGACTAAGATGTTCACCCAACAGCTGCTACCACATTTTCCAAGGGAGGGATGAGTTATAGAATGCAGCCTGCCAGCTGCAGGGGCATTTGCTTTCTGTATCTACAGAACATTCTACCGATAACATTTTTCTTGTCATCTCTAACAGTCAGAACTTTCTAGGGTGGCTGTATACCATGTGACAGTTTTCTGAATTTTCGGAGGCTTAATGAGGAAGGAATGTTGAAAAGGTCAGAGATGGCAACAGTGATCTGGGAGACTGGCATACTGATCATATTTACATTCCAACTGGGCACTGTGAGAGTGAAAGGAACACTGTTAATAAGGTGGGACAGCAGGACTAAACCAGGAGTGGGATGTCTGAACACCCTAGGTAACTGGGTGCTCCATGTACTTGCTAGAGGGAAATACCAAACACTCTTGGTTGGAAGGCAATGGTCAGCTCTGCAGAGGCAATGGACAGCCTGACTCATCACCACCTTTATGCCCCGGGCTGTGCAGGTGAGGAATAATGTTAGTGACATTTGCATCACAGACTGAGAAAGAAAACAGGTGGCTATAACAATCAGTCTTAGGGCTTCCTTCTTCTTCTATCTCAACTCTCAAATGGCTCTAAAGAATCCCTCTCTCCAAACCACTCTTCAATCAGATTCCCCATTCTTGCTTCCTGACTGATTAGTCAGCTTGAGAGAGGGAGACCATGTAGGTGGGCTTTCAAAACCAGGCGGTACAAGTACTACTGACTGTAGGCCTGTGACCCAGCTCCCTGTGTCTTGTTGCACAGAACCCGAGAGGTAATGGCCTGCAGACTGCTCCTTGAGGTCTTTCCCCTCTGCCTTAGGAGAGGACTTGCACAGGGAAGTCTGAGCTCAGCTAGAAGTTCTATGTTGCTTTACTCAATCTCCTCACGTTGTCCTCGCTCAGTCGTGGGACCACATCTTTTTATATAGCCATTCATTTCTTTGGTTCCCATTTTTACATTTAGTCAGCTTCACACATATCCACTTAATGTAATAAATGCCTACAGGCTCTTTGTTCACTCTCAGTGATATGACTTGCACAAGTTTTTACAGAAGAGAATTGCTTTTTGTTTCAACTTCCTAAAGTTCCTTCGTAAAACAGTTCATTAGGATACTGTTATTATTTTTTTTCACTCATGTAAAACAAATTTTCTTTGCCAGATTAAAGAATCATGGTGAATCCTCTATAATTGTGTTAATACAAAATATGGCCCCAGAGGGAGGCCCCAATAACCCAGGAAGGAATATTAAGGAGAAAAATCAGCAGACCAAACTGTAAAGCTGTGTGAAAAGGTTTGTCTAGCATGCCCTCCAGCTACTTCTATACATGTCCATGAATTAGCATGGCATTCATCTTTGTTGAAATCTTGGGACTCCAACAGAGCCTCAGTTATCCAATAAAGAACATATATTTAAGTTTATAAATGGAAAAATGCAAGAGGTGAAACAACTTGTCTTGGCACTAACATGTAGAGTTTTCTAAATACAATGTTAACATCACTAAGGTCTCTTTCATTTAAGTAAAACCATAACCACTAAAACTAGTTGAGTCTCTGATAAAATCACTATCTCTGAGGGAAGTATCGAACAGCTCCCAGTAGAATGCAACAGTCAGCTACATGGAGGCTGTGGGCAGCCTGGCCCATTGCTATATTAAAAACTTGGATTGCCCAAAGATCGAGGGCTGTCCTAGTTCTCAGTACAAAGAAGAAGAAGCAGACACTGAAAGGGATGAAGAAGGTTACGTTAGAGATGGAAATGGTTAACAGCAAAAACTATCATTATATATCACACACACACACACACACACATACACACACACACACAGAGTCTCATGAGGAAAATTCAAACTGCTTGTTTGGCTTTAGTGGTTGAGTCTATCTAAACAATCAGGTAACACTGTAGAGGTGATCACACACACACAATATCTGTTAAATGGTCTGAGTTCTGATTATTGCAATAATGGTGTCACCAACTTCATTAAAAACCACAGAGACAAACTCAAACCTGCACTCATATACAACCTGACAAGCCTCTTTGGGTTTTTACAGAAAACCTTTCCAAACATCTCTGGAGTGCACAGTCCTGCATGGCAGTGAGCAGCCATGAAGGGCTGAGTGGGTTTGCTGAAATGGGAACAGATGCGATGGGGGACCCTGCCTCTCCATTCAAGCGCGTCTCGTTCCTCCAGCACACAATGCTGAAGCAATTCCTTTCCCAGGCTTTCTTTTATTTTTTAACATTAGTACAGTGGGAAAAAGTTTCTGCCACAGCAAAGCAATGTCCAGGCTTTTGTGAAACATGTCCTTTTCATCCAATGGGCAAAATAATGTATAGATTCTAATGGAATAAATCTGAAATACTCTACTGTAGAAGATTTGTCCCCATTGAAAACAAATCTTGATTAGATGATTATTCAGGGACTGTATAGGGAGGAATGGTGTGAAAATGCTGACTCCATTCTTTCCTAGATTGGCACTGAATAGGCATTTGGGCTATTCAAAAAAAAAAAAAAAAAAAAAAAAAAAAAAAGAAAAGAAAAAGAAAAAAAAAAAAATCTCTCACTCTACAAAACCATACAACTTTACAAAGATGATGCGTAGTTGGGAAGGCCACCCCACCTAAAACCCCCACAGTGGTAAGAGCACAGAAATGATGGCAGTGAAAAAAAGTGAATAAAAATAGTTCTTGAGTGTTTTAAAATACTAACCTGTCTCCTTTTCACTGAAGTACGCATACAGAGGCAGCCTGTGATGGCATTCACTAGAAACATGCGAGGAATTCTACTCTGAAAGTGATCACGCATTCTAAGTTACCATGTTCCTTGGGTGAGCACAGTATGGATGGGGCTGAAACAGGAGTGAGCACAAAAGGAAACGCCTGCTTGTGCTGAAATAGGTGACAGAGGGCCCAGCTCTCTGTTTTGTAGGAACCCAGCTGCTCTGTCCCTTAAGCTACGGGGGGCCGGGATAGGACTTAGCATGAGAATAAAAAGCAGCCAGTGCACAAGGGAAAAGGAACAAGAAAGGAAACAGCAGGCAATACACTCTCTTTTAATTAGGTGTGAAATCCAGTGCTTCCTCCATCCGGATATGTAAAATGAGAATAGTGCCAGAGATGCTGTAGAGGGAGATGGGAATTTGAAGTCTCTGTGACTTGGGAGGAAACACCAGCCCTCAAATTAAAACCAATAGGAATTTCGGTTAACAGCCCTAAGTCCAAAGGGCCAAAAAGCCCTTGAGCTTTCAATCTGGGCCACCAGGTTCACGTGAGGAAAGCGGGTCAGTACATGAAATAGGGCCAGGGTGGCCAGGCCTCCACAACTCAGCCTCGGCCATCACTCTCTTTTCCACCTTGTACCTCGATACCTTTATGCTGAAGCTGTTCTTTCCTAGATGAGCTGATAAGTGATGATCTTAAGTCACCACATGTTGGTCACACCAGGAAAGAGCCATTCCTCTCTGGATAACACAGGGATGCACGTGGTGACTCAGGTCCTTTACTCCTAAAGCAACATCTGCTGCCGGGGTGGACTTCAGTGTCTACTTCACCTAAATTCTGAGGGAGACGAGCTGAGGCCATGTGCTACAGGAGGAGAGCGGTTGCTAGTGCAGTTTCCACCATCTAGAGCAGATGGCCCTCTCCGTCTCCAAGGCTTCTTCACACTCTTTGGAGGGAGGGTGGCTGGCGATACTGAGGAAATCACTTTGTGAATGAAAGGCAACAGGCAGAGCAAGACCTCATTTCCTACCCTGGCTCCATACACCTCGCATACGGCAGGTGCCATTGCCCCTGTGAGTGAACCATGGGAGGGTTATCAGCCTGTGGGAAGGAGCGCAGCCCTGCTTTACTTACCCATTCCTGAGTGGAAAGGGGATGCTTTGGGCCAGCTGCCAGGGGCTGTTCTCCTCTATCTTCCAGATTATCTAGGCCCAGGGTACAAGAACCATTAGAGATCATCATGGTTTTGTGTGCGTTCTTTTAAATAATCGGTAACAGAATTCTTCTCATAAAACATAAATAAATTGTTCAACTTTCAGAAATTTAACTTTCAAACATATTTTCAGAAATATACCACCTATGAAAGTTGAGGATAGCCCATATATAATTTTGTAGGCATGACTTCTTAGGTTAGCTGGATAGAGATATTAACTGGTTTAAAGTGTTTACAACACCATTATATCTATGATCTCAATACTGTACTTGAGTATGTCTTTCATATTACTTAAAATGTCATTCATACATGTAACATTTCTGGAACACATTTTAAGTATTCATAAGTCCTTAAGATGTATACAAGGCTTTCGGGGGTGCATCTACATTTTTTTCATGAATGGACATATTCCTACTTTCATAGGAATAAGGTCAGTGGCTTTTATTAGAATCTCAAACAGGTCTGTGTTCTCCCAAGTTAAGACCCATGGATTGAGAGATTCAATCCTCTCTCTTTAAGCAGTTCTTAAAAACTTTCAATAATTAAAGCCTTTGTAACTAATGCAACCTTTACCACTGTATCTGATGCATCAGGT